AATCTAACAGTAAAAATGAACCTTTTAAAGGCTTGTACAACTGACAATATTTTTTTTCTGATACTGGTTGATTGAGCTTCCAGGTACATTGTTGACATCCAATCTAAACCATTAGCATCAGTACATTTCAGGCTAAATCTGACAATTTCAGACACCATTCGCAAAACTGATACGAAATTTACACAGAATTAGTGTGTTTGGTTGACCCGTCAAATAAATAGCTTGATATGAACCTGATTAAATCCACAAACTTGACACGCCACAAATATAAAGTATATATGAACATAAATGGGTCGGCAATGGGTTGAACAATTTTGATGCAACAAGACTTGGACACGACACAAACTTGACACAACACTATCCACATTGACTTGGGTTGAGCAATTTTGACACAGCCTGACTTAAACACAACATGAACTCAACATAACAACAGGACCCATTGACTACCCTAATCATCATCATCAATAGAATGTTTGATCCTTCTTTTTAATCAAAACCATTTAGTTAGTGGATATAAGGCCACAAATTGTCCTCTCTAGACCAAGCAGGTCTTTGTCTCCAAGTTTGTTTGATCTATAAAATAAAAATCTGTAACCCCACGAAAGTGACATGAAGAATAAAGCCAATAGACATTTCTCTATCACCTTGAATTCATGTAGACTTTAAAAAAGGAATTATCGTGATCGTGTCTTTAATGTCTTTAAAACTTTTGTTCTAGTTTCAACCACCTCTAGGGGCGAGGGTGTCTTCTTCTTCTTCCTTGAGGCCTTTGGAGATGGGTATACTTTATCTAACAAGTTGCAGCTTAAAGTTTCATTCATTTTGATGTTGAAAGGAAGAAAATGAGGAGCACATAGAAAAAATTGATTTGGGTGGGAAGTTATAGACATGTACTTGTCTTTTTTTCCTCTATTTTTAAAAAAAAAAAATTCCTTAGTTAGTCCCCTACAGTTTTTTATTTTTTAATTAAAATCCTGGGTTATGCCACTAAAATCCTTTAAAGCTACTTGTTTGAGAGTATTTTATCTGTCGAGCACCCCAAAAAAGGAATAAAACCCGAAAAAAATTATATATAATAGGTTAATTATGAAATTAACAAGCACAACCGACAATGTTAGATTATGATAGTCAACCAAGTCACTAGGGTCTTGCAAACAAATAATTGTTATGTTTTTGGCTGTTCTGCCAAGAAGCGTTAAGAGAAAAAGAAAGAATTCCTCGATGAACGAACTAGTAATAATCTCAGAACTGAAAGCCCTATAATTTTTTGAGGCCACAGCGCGGCACGCTAAGCACCACTAAACCACACCTCTTCGTTGCATTACTCTCCAAGTGGAAGTTAACTGGCATTTGCATGGCCCGCCCGCCGGCTTATAGTTTTGTGTGCATTTTCTTTGACTTCTGTTTTAAGAGTACAGTAAAGACAAACATAGAAATAATCTTTGTTTTTAATTTAGTGGCCCGTCGCAATCATTTTTTTTTTTGTCTGGTTTGTTTGTGTATTCGTATTTGATCTAAGAATTGAATTTGTGGCGAATGTTTACTGATTACTTACATATTTCAATTCATTCTCATCAACTGACCACTCAATTCACCAATGTTGCGAATCGGATTAGATATTCAAATCTGAGTCTACGAAAAACTATGATCTAACAAAATTAGAATCATTAATAGGGAAGACTACAGTCCTAAGATACATGTTTGGATGAATTGTAAGAATAGGACAATGACACCCCCTAGATCCACCCTTGGCATGCATGCATGCTTAGGTCACATTTATAAAAACCTAGTTAAAAGACAGTAGGGTAGGGAAAACGGTGGTTGAATTGGCCTTAGCTTTGTAAATTGACAGGAAAGGAATTTGTTTCTGTCTGGTTTTACATTAAATTAAGGAAGACGAATGATACTTGGAACTAGTTTACTGAGCTTATTTATTGATTTAATCTCTCTTTATCATTAGAGGTTGATAGTGAACTTTACCATTAAATCAACAAATTAGGTTAAAACATTTTATAAATGATGGACGGTAAACTTATATCTTTTAATTGGTGTTTAAATCGATATGCAAATAAGTTATTACACATATCCGATAGAGAGTATTATATTACAGTACACCATACAACTAGTTGGGAGAAGTCTCATTGCACTTACGTCGGAGTTGAAGTTAAAGTATCATCGTGTGCTCTAAATGTTGAAGAGTATGTTTAATCTCACAGAATTGTCATAATTGTAGAGATTCAAACTTAATATTAAACGAAGAAATTTAAATTCTTAGAAAGTGGACCAACTGATTGGTGGGATTATGACTTTTTATCGTTTAAAGTGCAGAGTACAAAGTACCACATCTGTGGAGAGGAAGAGGGAGAGGGATTTCGTATTTTGTAACCTTAAATTAATATGTTCCTAGGTCGTGCAAAAATATATCAGAATCGCTGGGTGAGAGATTAAGGATAAGGTGTATAATATGATTAAAAGGAATAAGATTGGTGTCCCTAGACTTAACTAAAAAAATATTTAAAATAATAGTAGATATCATGGACCTAAAAAAGATAAAAGCAAGAAAAGTCAAAGGCACTGACAAAATAGCTGGCACTGATAATTTACTTAGCCATGAACTTTAAATTCCTAGGCAAATTTTAGAATGAAAAAGACAGGGCATTTGAGAACACTTTTGTGATAAAAGTATATATTGTGCTAAAAAAGTTAAATCATTTAATTACAAAAAAAATAAATGAGTAATGGAGAGTGTTTATTTGATCACTATTTTTAATATAAGTCTGTTTCATCAAAATTTGATTGTTGGGTTAGGCGTAGCTGTTTCTTTTCACCTTTAGGACATTGTTTTGATATTTGATGTCCACCAAAACAACTTGCACAAAGAACCTCTATCCATCAATAAACAAATGAAAAATCTAGATAACAAAAAGTGTTCAAAACACCCCCATGAATTAGTAGTAAAATTCATAAATAGATTCTAATAATATTATTTTTATTATTATTAAATAATTCCAAGGTATAGTATAATAGAGACAATGATGAAATACAAACCTAGACATACTAAATTCAACCCGAAGAGATCTGAACAAAATTTACAAAGAAAGAAAATCCCCTATCCTTTTTATTAATATAATAACTGATGAGAATCATGAGACCTTCGGCTTCATCATCACCATTCTTACAGTCTGTACACATGCAGAGCCAGTGGCTTTATTTCAGGTTTGCCAGTCGTCTCCTTCCTCTTATTTGTTCAGGAGAGAGAGAGAGAGAGATCTGTTCCTTCAAGCACAGTTTTGATATGTTCCTTCAAGAATCAAACGAGAATGGTGGCTTCAAGAGATCATAAGGAGCCCACAGAGCATCCAACGGGCATGGCCTGTTTGCGTCAAGTCGAGCCCATGGTTTACCTTTCCCACTCCAATGCAAAAGACTCACCGGACCCAGATGTAAATCCCGGCAAAGCCCGCGAAAATTATCTCCCCCAAGACCATGTTGATTCCACCGGTGATCCACCGGAGCTATCTTTCCGGCGAAAACAAGCAAAAATGGTGGCAATGAACCAAGTTCATAAATCCTCATTCTCTTCTGGAGCTCCATCCATTCTTCTATTTTGGTCGTATAGTCACCCTCTCTCCATCGATCAAGATCGATCACCATAACACCTGTGTTAAAATAACAAGCTTTACGATTTGCGAAGGTTAATGATAGAGAAGGGTTTGACCAGAAGGTCGGAGTAAAATAGGAGGTGAAGTTGGCATTGCAGTACTCGGGTGCAGCTAAAACTCTGTCGTCGTCGAGAGGGGTGGCGACGAGTTTGGCAATGTCGTCGACGAGAACGAGGTCGGAGTCGAGGTAAACTATTTTGTTGACACAAAGAGGTAAAAGCTTGGCTAAGTAGCTGCGAGCATAGTTGAGAGGGCAGTCAAGGGCGGAGCGAATGGAGGTGGATATTAAGCCGGCGACGGCGGTGTCGTCCAAGGTGTAGAGGTGAAAGTTGAGGTACGGGAAGGAGGTGGCGATGGTGGCGTGTAGGATTGATGCGTTGGCGGAAGCGGAAATGACGAAGTGGAAGACGATGTTTTGAGGGCAGGAAGAGTGGTGAAGAACGGAGAGGATCGCCGCCATGGAGCCGCGGATGTAGGCGGTGTCGAGGGTCATCGCAACGTGGATGGCGTTGTCAGAGCAGAAGGTGTCGTCGGTGTCGCCATTGTTGGTTTCTGTGTCTGTGTCACTGTCGTCTGTGTCGGTGAGGGAAGGGCATTGTGGGGAGTTGTAGAATTTTGGGGCTTGTCTGAATGGCTGTGAGATTGTGGCAGTGGGTATGGCAATGGCAGTTGCGGTGTTGGCGATTGTGATGGTTAAAAGGAGGCATACAATTACAAGGTAGGAAAGGAGGAGAGAGAGGAATCGTTTTGACATGCTGTGGCACACTGTTAGATTTGGAAATGGGAGAAGACAATGGGTTTTTATAGTGAGAGAGAGAGAGAGAGAGAGAGAGAGAGAGAGAGAGAGAGAGAGAGAGTTTAATTGAGTTAGAAGGCTCTTTTTTTTTTTTGGTGCGGTGGTAATGGTGACTTTTAATAAAATTATATTATTAGATCAATAAATTAGTTAAATTTTTAAATTTAAATAACAATTTTTTTTATAATTTTATGCCAAGTATTAGTCAATCTATATTTAATTAATTACATAGTGTTGGCTCGATTTATTTATTTTCGTATTATATTTGTGTTGACTTATAAATAAAAAATTTAATATTAAGATTTAAGTTTAATACTTCATTATCATCAAATCAAACTTACACTCATATTTTTTCTCAAACTAAAAATTAATTTAATAAAAATAATAAATAAATCCTCTTTTTACAAAAAGATTATGCCGATACTTGAAAAAAAAATAACAAAATTTTGGCATTTTATTCCAATTACATTAGTTAAAGGTGTTGATCATATGAAAAAATTTGTATTATTCATGTTTGACACTAACTCAACTCATTTATTATTCATGTAAATAAAATTTATAAATTCGTGTTGAAAATTTGTCAATTCTAACTCGTTAATTTTGAATTGTATTTATACATTGTATCTGAAATTGTCAATCTTAAAGATTTTGTTTGGTCGAGAACGTTCAACATGAGATTAACCATGAAGTTTTAAGTTTGATGTTTAAAAACACATTATTAGTAAACAGGGTAATGTTATACTGACCACAATAATGAACCAAAAATAAAATCTTAATTATGAATTATCGTCAAAGTGAGTAAAATTTAAATTTTAAATGAATAAAAATAAGATAAAGGAATTTCTCCATACCAACATTGTATTAATTTGATTCTTTTTATTTATTTCATTATTTATCAGTAATATTATTCTAATAAATGAATGGGAGGGGCACAGTTGGACGGCTGGCCGGACTGCAGGGCCACTTGGGTATTTTCAAAGGGAAGTGTGTTGGATTCAGACTGAGGTTCTAGACTGCAAATTTTGTTGTTTTTCTAGACTTTTGTGGCATGGGGACACCTATCCTTTCTCTCTCATGCTTTAGGCTCAAGTTACGAGGAGAAGCATACTATTGGTTCAATTTTTTTTTTTTGCAATCTTATGTAATTACTTTTACAAATTCGAATATTTAGTCATCATAGTATAACAGGTTTAGAACATGTGGTACGAAGAACAAATGTTACTAACCTTTAAAAAATATGAGAAATATTGAACCAGACAAATCTGAATTACCAGAAACTATGGTCAGTAACTCACCCACCTTTATAGGTTATTGAAGTTAGTGTTTGACATAATAATCAATGGCTCCCCTATTAGACCTTAAAATAATAAGTTTGAATTTCATCATCTCTTTTGTGTAATAGTGACTAACCAAAAAAAAAAGTTTGTGGTTTTAGCTTTTGAAGTGGGGAAGGAGTGGGAAACTAAAAGCTTGTGCACTAAATCCTTCTTTGCAATGGTAAAATTGTTAAGATTTGAGTCGTAAAAACAATCTGTTTGTATCTATGATAAAATTAGGCGTGGAAAATGACATATAATTCAGAAAATTGAGAAAAAGAGAATGTGTAGAATGATAGAATCCCAATAGTGGTGGTTGTACGGGAAAGAGTACCCCTCAGTTTCAAACTTGGATAGTCAATAGAGAGAATTGATTGGGAATGAATGCTGAAACAGATGGCTAAGGGTTGAGTGAGGTCCCACGGTGATGGCTATTCAAATGGACGTGGTTGTTGATGCTTCATCATCAAAATTAATCGCACTCCATCTGTTCGTTGAAATGTCATAGTCGGTGAAAATTGTTCTTCAGCAGACTATCTTAGTCTTATGGGTAAGGAAACAGATAATAAAATTCATATCCTTGATAACCAAGAGTACTCCATTATTTCAGGTGCAACAAATGGAAAATCCTACTCATGAAATTGCCAATCCAAAAAACTTATAAACAAAATATACTAAAAAGTTGCCAACAATGCATCGCAGTGACCTATTTGGACAAATTTGGTCCTTATTTTTCCCATACATATTTTGTGAAATTCAAATTTAGAATCTAGAGATGTTATAACTAAAATCCTATCATTCGAACTACCTTATCGGGTTAATTTGATCCGTAGATCTACTATAGTTTGTGTCGATGCACCGATAAGGTAAAAGAAACACACATATCAACCCCAATAAATAACACAAATGGTAACAGAAATTAACTGTAGAATCAAATGTCAAGAGTTCAAAATTTCTTGGGATCAAGTCATGAGAGATTTATTTTTCATGAATATCCTAGTTCTAGTGTGGATGATTTGTCTTTAACCAAACTGAAAATAAGATTAATTTAAGTACACGTAAACTAGTCCGAACACTCTGCACGTTAAAAAAATAAAAGTAACACACAGTTACATGAATGGTTTCTTTTTAGAGGTTGATTCTTGCAATTAATTAACATTCTTTTCCACTGCCAATCAAATGACAGCCCCTTATGCCTTGGTTGTATACTGAATTAATTACTTCTATAAGTGATTTGTTAACTGATAAATAATGGGTCTTTGAGTAATTAACTGATCAAATTAGGAACTTATAATAAAACAAAACACAAAATAGAAATTTGTAGTCTCATATCTCTAATAACTAGAAGTTGATCTAAGAGTTCATAACATAGGTCAAAATATCAACCAATACTAATAATATGAGTTAGTCAAATCGTATCGTTATAGGCATCTTAAGATCCAATACTATTTCACTTTACATATATATGTCACATGACTCAGTCACGTTGTTTGAGATGTCTTCGAGTAAACTCGATTCAACGAGTTATTATCATCGAATCGGTTAATATCATTCCGCAATCCCACATTTCAGCATGAATCTCTTTATCGTATCCAAAAAAAATTTTTGGTTGTACCAGTCTACAATATCGTAACTAATGCGTCTTAGAGCCCCTTAGGTCAAATAATTAATACTACCACCTTGAACCATGGTTCCTAAATGTCGAACATTGTTGGCATTAGAAAATTCAGACTCATTATTATATCTAGAAGATACAAGCAATTCAATATTTCTCAAGTGAGAAATCTCTTGGTCTCGGTCGTTTTATATTCTCATTGTTGAGTGTCCTGGGCAATGACACACTGACGGGACGATGAAAGTGCAGAGTAGTTTCCCTTATTTCAACAACTGCAAAACTATGGAATGGTGTAAGGGCAAAGCACAAACAAAGAAAGTAGAAGGTAAGATCATGGACATTCACTGTTATTATAGTCGCCGACATATGACCCATACAACCCTTACAAAGTGGGTCAGGAACGCCTTGAAAGTCAGCTTAGTATTTGAATCCAGCACATGGTTTAATCTTTGTCACCATGCTAGCTAGTCGTCTTTCTATTTGTAGGACAATGTGCATACAGTGCACGTTGAAACTCTTTATTAGGTGGAGGACCCATTCACAATTGTTTATATTTAGACTTGTATTGAGTCAAGTTTGTGTATAACTTGCGAATACGTTTTGACGGGTCTGCCAAGATGGAGTAACAGAAGATAAAGACCTTCAAAGTCTTAAAAGAACGCTCTTCTGGCTGCTTCTGCTTTCAAAGAAACTTCTTATTTCAATCTTCAAATCCCACAACCCAACAACCCCCCCCCCCCCCCCCCACCTTCCCCCTCCCAACCAACCAAAAAACATAAAGATTGTTGGATTCATTTGTATACACGTAAGATTTTTTACACTGCCCTACAAGATTAATCTCTTTAATAGGGTTAGAAAGAAATAAGATAAGCAATCTCATCACTACTGATTCTCGAACTTAAAACTCACCCACAAAAAAAAAAAAAAAAGCACAATATATATGAGTTTTTCTATAAGCTAATAACCCTAGGCGGAAGCCCTTCCCAACTTCTGTTCAAACTAAAGCCATTTAAGAGGCATCATCAGAATACAAGGACTGTGGTCCATGTGGGACTCTCTATTAAACTAAATCAGAGCAACCCAAAATGTAGCCTATGAACTGGACTGCAATAGCAACCCTCAGGGTCAGAAGGAAACCTAAATAGTTAAGAATGGATCACAAAGTTTCTAGTATCATATTCTAATCACAGCTACCAGCCTATGGACTGGATTGGAAGGCAACACTTCAACATGAAAGAACCAAACTATTTAAGGACTAAACCCGACAAACCCCCCTGTTACTATATTCTTAATTAAACAGAACTTTCAGTTTACAAAACGTTTGGTAACAGGTTCACAGTAGAGAATTCTTGGGATGAGACTTTCTTTTTGCAAATTCCAGTTCCACTCATGTGCACAGACCAATGATTTTGATTTTAAAAGGGAATGGCTAGCCTGTACAGACATCTCTTTAAGCATAAGTGTTCACCACCACAGCCCTAGTCCCTGTGACCTCTAGTAAGCTCACTCTCTTCTCCCTACTAAGGGATCGAATCCACCAAAGACTAAAAGAGGTCCACAGTGCAACCGTCTAAAACATAAGTGTTCTCTTAAGTAACATTAGGCAACCACAGGTATGGTGACTCCAGCCGGGGGTTCAGGAATCAAGTCTATGTCTGGACATGTCCGGAACCCAGCTACGGGCTGGGTCGCCAGTAAAACTATTTTGGCCACACGGTTCGTAAAAACCTGTATCTTTAACAATCCTCTCCTAAAATTCTTAGCAATTATCAACACAGTGCAATATTTAGGTCCTGCATTGGAACACGGTCACACTAGCCTGCAATGCCACACTAACTCCAGCACAATTACGGTCTTATAGAGAGTTATAGGGTGAATGTGATCAGGCATGTCTTAAAATGTAACCCCCTATAAGCATTTGTAAATTTTTGTAGTCACAGCTCATCTCGCTGCAAGTGCAACAACATGCATTATTGGGAGAAACAAAATTCTGTCGTTCTCTTGATTACACAACCAAAAAGGATATAAACAGTGAGCTGCTAGTATGCACCTTTGAAGGAATTCCAGAGCATACACCATGCTTCATGATTGCGGTATCGGTCATCAACTTGGAAAGATCTAAAACACATCGGTTGCGTCGTCACAGCACAACATCAAGCGATACGACCAAAAATTCAAGTTATGTCGCGGCGTCGTGGAATCCTATCGGCCAATTCGATGACAATGTTTCGGTGATTTGGGATTGACTCCGATACAACTCGGTTGAATTGTGTGAGACTCAGAGTTTATAGGCAACTTATAACGGTATCGTCTCCGAATGTATCAAGACGGATATGACTTGGCCGACTCGTATCTGTATCGACCGATACTTTGAACTATGGCATACACCTTTACATAATCTTACGAAAAGGGCTCTTGAAGAGCCGCAAAAAAAAAAATTAATTATATCAATGTATATTCATGATCATCTAAACAGGTAACTTGTTTCAACAAATCAAGAAAGAAAATGCCACTCCATTTTATTAAAAAAACAAAATCTCAGCCATCAAACAGGCCAAGCCACAACTATATGTAACATCCAAAACTTATAATTTTAACCCGTCTGATACACAAAAGACAATGATTAAAACTAAAACTCTGACTATAAAAAGCCAGATTAACCAACACAGACAAAAAGGAAAAAAATCCCAACTTGGCCAAACCGGCAACCCATGTGCTAGATAGATGAGTCTTGGGAATTCTGGGGCCCCGAGCTCTCTTAAAGTAGAAGATCAAATCATCCAGGATGAAGTTTCTAACTGAAAGCCATAGTTGGACCAGTTGTCCAGTAAAACGAAAAACAGCAAAGGTTCACCAAGTACCTCAGAACTTGAAAACAACAAATGGAAATGCATCGCTTCACGGTCCCCATCTGCAAGCTTCCTGTTCACATTGCTATAGCTCTATAGTTTCCAAGCAACACATCTAAGCACCTCATTATACAGCTACAGTCAGGAAAAATGATCAAAAAGAAGCCATCCTTTAACGGCCATATACCTCATATCCCTACGATTCCTTCATGCATCCAATGGAAGTTGAGCCTCTATTTAGGACTCTAAGGACTGATAGTAGGATTGGAGATCCAAAATATATTGAGGTTACTTTCTTAACTATAAGATTCTATGCAGTCAACATATGTTCATCTTCAATGGCCTGTCAATTAACACAAATATCTCCATTATAGAGTCACATAACCTATGAGGTTTTAACCAGTGTCTGTGTCTGTGTCTGTGTCTATGTGCGTGTGTGTGTGTGAGAGAGAGAGACAGACAGACAGGTCAGATTTCATATACAAGTTGAGATAATAGAAGCTACATAAGATAAAAAAAAATGTCACGGGAACAATTTTCTCAACCACCAAGGAGGGTGGGGGATGAGGGGTGATAAAGAAAAGGTAGGCACGAAATGATCCAATACTAACAAAAGGAACGGGGATGAAATCCTAGACACTCGTAAGCAATTTGGGCACCGGTAGCGAGTAGCAAGTTTACCTCACGACCAAATTAAAGCAAAGATCACACCCATGCCAACTATCAAAAACAGCATCTTCAGCAAGTAATCAGCCTGTTGCTGTTGACTTCTGTGCTGAGGGAATCCATGAGCATAACCTCCATGAAACGCATTAGAATGTCCATAAGGAAAACCAGCAGCTGTTCTATACATGGTAGTATCGGGAAATCCATGCACTTGAACGTTAAACATGTTTAACGATGGCATGAGACCACCAATCGCCGCTGCTAATGAGAAGCTCCCAAACCTCGCAGATGCCACAGGAGGAAATCCACCCAATCCCCGCCTGAATCCAAACCCTTGTTGGGAAAAAGGGTTTGTATCTGGGGGAGGAGCAGGAGCCGTTTCTGGTCTTTGCCCAGCTGGACGGTGTGGAATTTCAACACCAGGAACCGACTTAGACCTTGGGTCAGTTGAGTTCTTTCCACGGCCATACAGAGGAACCAACTTCTGTTCCTCAATAAGAGCCTTACAAACAGGGCATTCTTGGGAACGAGAGTGAACGTGAAGCCATTTGTAAAGGCAAGGCCAGCAAAAGAGGTGACCACAGGGAGTCACAATTGGGTCTTGAGCTAAGTCAAAGCAAATATTGCACTCAAAATTACCAGCATCGCTTTTGTTGTTAGTATTATTATTACTACTGCTTGAACAAGAAGGGTTCTGTGGCGCCCTCCATGTTGATTCCCCAAACCCACTCGCCATCTTTCGATCCCTAAAAAATCAATGCCCTAGAAATGAAATAAACTCTAAATTAAAGCCAGCCACAAGAACTAAACAACTTACAGAAATAAAAAGTAATCACATATTCAAACTACAAGCACCAAGATATCAATTTCAACATAGCCGTGTCACTGTTAACTTAATATAAAAAATCAAAAATATAATCTCAATTAAACAATTCCATCCAGTTATACCCAATCAAAATATGAAAACCTAACGGGTAAAGCCAACCTATCACGTAACTAGGATGAATAAAGACTCCATACCCAGCAAAATTTCAAAGCTTTGATAATGAACTTTACCAAAAACGGTCAAACAAAGCAAATTCAACTACGAAGAGTCCAAGATATAATGCAGTTAACATACGTCTGTGAAGGGAAAAATGTATTGGAAAAGGGAAAGATAAAATTCAACACGCAAAGCATTAAAGAAACTTGATTCCATGGAAGAGTAATTTGGTGGTAGAGAATCACTTACCTTTGGACGAGAGAGATTGAACAAGCGACCGACCGGGCACCGACGTATCGATCGATCCCAGAGTCAAAATCAAAAGGTGAGAGAAGTAAATCTCTCCAACTGGAAATAGAATTCTCGTAAGATTCGAAGAGGAAAATGCGATGAAATTTCGAGGCACAGTTAGGGTGTGTTTGTTTGAACGGATATTGGCGGATTGGACATGTTGGGTTGGATAAAAGTATACGGAGGGTCCATATATCTCAATTTTGGGTTATTTAAATGAGATTGAATTTTTGTTGGGTTAAATTATTCGGCCCATAGACAATTAAGCCCCAAATTTCATCTGATCCCGATAAATGAAACTCAGCTGGACTTTGGAGTTTCTAAAGCCATTGGATGTATAAAGCATTTATTACCTTTTAAACAGTAAAATCACTTCCCTTGCTTTTCACCTACCTGCGGGTCCCCCAATTTGACAACGGTGCCCCTGTCTCCTTCAGCTAAAAGTATGTATCTCTCCCTTTCTATCTCTCTCGCCTGTCTCCTCGTCTCTCCATCTCTTGCCTCTGTTTTTTTTCATGCATCAATTACATAGTTTAAAGTGGTATTTCTGCGTGAAGCAGTAGATGCTTCCAACAAGAAAAATTGGATGACGGTATTTTTTTTTTGTTTGAACTGGGGAAAAGGGTCATTTCTGTCTTCATTGCTATGTCTCTCTCCTTCTCTTCCTCCATGGCTAACGTCTAAACCTTGTTGGGTGCTAAAAAAGCAAATGGCTACAGTAAGTTCCATTGTTTGCTTTCTCTGCCGATTCCTCACCTTTTTTTTTTTTTTTTGAGAATCTCGACTTTTTATTTCAAGTGATCAAATATTTAAACATTAGAGCAAAATATCAGGCAAAAATCTCTCTAAACTTAAGCTAATTGGTAATTTGAATATCATTAAACAAAATTCATTTGAAGAGTTACCAGTTGAGAGAGAGAGAAAAAAAAAGAGCCATAATTATCTGCACTGTGGTGGTCTTGCAACGTCAAAAGAAGTCATCTTCATCCCTTTGAATTTGTTCTTGATCATTCTACCCCTCTTAGCTTCAGTAGCTTTGATCCTGGCATCTGCAAGAACTCTGTTAAGATCCAACGGCTGGGAATATCTCATCATAGTCTCCTCTGCTGAGACGTTGATACCTGGTGGGGCCAATTGGACTTGATACAATCTAACCCACTGTTGAGTGTCAATAATGGTGCAATTTGCAATTTGCAATTTGGTGCAGTTAATTGTAAATTTGTAAAAGAGGCAGATTCCATGGTGCAGGTAAGGAATATTGCCAGTTGCTAGACTAAAAAAATGTGCTCATATTTTAATGATAAAGGATAACACAGTTTGACTGTATGTATGTTGTATATATTTTTTCTTTGTAACACAAGTTTTGTTCTTTTTTACGAGGTTTGTATATGGTTTTAGAATTGTACTAGCTTTTTGTATTTTTTTTGGTGATTAAAAATAATTTTTTCTTTTAATTTTTATAAAAAAAAATCATTAATTATTACTATGGTTAATGTGAATTTGAGTTGTAACGTAGTTTTTCGTATGTTCAAACATTTTTTGTTCTAAAATTTTTAATATCTTTGGTGGATGAAATAAATTTTTGAGCATTTTATAAAATCAACGTGTAATAACATGTATTTAGTGAATACATAAGTATTTCTATATTTTTTACAATATTAAATTAGTAACCAACAATGATCAAAAATAAAAAAAAATAAAGTGGTAACCAATAATTCTCAAGCCAAAAATGGTCAATTAATGTCAAAAGTATTAAATGTTTAAGAAAAGAGCAATGTTATTGAGACATAATTTATAGACATAATTTGGGGACATAATGAATTGTTACCAATGATATGATAATGAATTCATTTTATGTTACAATGGGACCTATCATTAAATACATTTCAGGATCATTTCATTGGTGATAACTCATTATATTCCTAAATTATGTCCCAACAACATTAGTGTTTAGAAAAAAATGTAATTTTTTCATATCTCAACCACATCATAATGCACTATAACATAATTTCTTTTTATCCCTTTACAAATCCGGCCTATTGAGATATCACTAGACTGATTTGGGATTTAAATACAAATCAATCCGGTCTATCCATAAATTGTGAAACACACCCTTAGGGTTTGGTATACACTTTTCAAAGGTCCAGCTGGCATTATTCTATTGGATTCGCTATGTTGGAATCCAATAGAATCCAACCATTTGTTAAAAAAAAGGTAGATTATATTTAGACCCGAGAACTTTGTCAATAATTCAAATACACCTTCTTAGAGCATCTCTAACAACAAAATCTATTTTAGTTATTCAAAAAATAATATTTTTTATTTTAACTATTCACTTTTTTAATATACACTTCAACAGATTTTTTATATTTTAACTATTATTTTTAAATATTATTTTTTATTCCTTTTGTATTATTTTTTTTTGAGAATAGTAAAAAGGAGAAAAAAAAAGAAAGGAAGAAAGAGAAAATATTATAAACAAATTTTACATATTATTACAGTTATACTATATATTTAGAGTATCACTGTAATAAAATCTATTTTAGAGTATCTGAACATATTCTGTTGGAATATAATTTTTTGCATTTTAACTATTTTTGTGTTTTACGGCATTTCTCAGATATGCTCTTAGGTATTAAATTAAAAAAAAATTAAAACTAACCCAACTTATATCCAAATACCATTCCAAATCCACCCGAATGCAATACCAACCCGACCCAAATAACCCCCTAATCTCTCTCTCTCTCTCTGTGACCCAAACAACCACCTCTCTTTCTCTCCCCCTCCACGATTTCGCAACACTGTCCACCCCTTCTTCTCCCTTTCCATGGTTTCACCACCACCAGCCACCACCTTTCTATCTCCCTAGAATTTGTGTATCTCCTTCTCTCACTGACCCTTGTCGCCAATTGTGGACTATCAGAATGCGGAGTGCCGATGATGGGTTGAAGTTACATAGTGGTATGGTTGAGAGAAGGAGATAGATGAATCACAGTTCCATAGGTGTTTGGATGGGTGATGTGTGATTGGGTTTAATGGGTAGGTTTATTCATTTTAATTATTGTTTAATTGTGTTGGTCGTTGGGTGATTAGAGTTGATTGCTGATGGGTGGATTATTGTTGATTAGCCGATAGTAAGTTGCGATGATGTGTGCGTGTGCTAATCCTACTAGGTTTTGAGGTGTGTGGACCACCATGTGTGCATATGTATGTGGATGAAGATAGGAGGTTGAGGGTTTGGATGGGCGGGAGTTTTGCAATTGAAAGTTGGGAGAGTTTTGTTAAAAAAATGATGGGTTTTGACGACTTGTGGAGGTTGGTCGTGGGGGGAGTTTTACAGTAGGGATACGGTAAGGGAGTTTTGTATTGGTTGGCGATGCAAGGGAGTCTACAGTAGAAGGGTAGGAGAATGTTGGAGTGTAAGAGTGGGGCGAAAAGTTTTGTGCCGGATACGGATGGGAGTAGGTTTTTTGGGGGAACTGGTGATGGGTTACAGCGGAGTATGGGTGGAGAGAGAGAGAGGCCATGGGGCTGTGGGTTGCTGGTGAAATTGGGGATTAGAGGAGTCTGGGGGTTGTTCTGGATTTGCATCAAATTGAGGAGTAAAATTAACGGAGAGAATTGAAAGGAAATTGTTATATTTGGGTTTTAAATTTAAAAAAAAAAAAAGTTTTACGGAATTTTAGTTAAAATGAAGAAATGGCAATTTGAGAATTTTGTATAAAAAATATGTTAATGTCATCAAGTTTTAACGGATCTCGAGGATAAGGGGTGAACCTACCATGTGCGCACATACCTCAAGGAATTGTAGGGTAATTTGTCAAATATGAGGGGTCTGTCGGTCTAATTTAGTGAATGGTAGAGGATCTAGACTAGAGGCTTCTAGAATTTTAGAAAAGTCCAATGCGTATTCAATTTGGAATTCTATTTCCCCCCTGACCATTATGTATATAAAGATGACTTTGACGAAATATACAAATGGAATTTACACCATCTATTAATAATTTAATACACAGATAATAAAATGGGTTTGATTAATAAGCACGAAACACCTAAATTTTTGTCCGACTCAATTCCCACCCCCTTATACCCATTAGACTTCATCTCTGTCAAAGTGAAAAAAAAAAAATTATTAAGATTAAATTAATGCTATACAAACTTGATTTATTAATCAAAGATGCCAACTTAATTGTAATCAGACTGACAATTAATTCTATTCAACTCTGCCACAGTAGGATTGTTCATCACACCCACTCTTTACTTATCAAATACATTACCCTGCTGTTATTTTTACCAGCGAAAATGTCATTTCCATGTGATAGAGTTGTTGTTAAAAAATTGTTTTTACATTGACCAATCTTCACTTGAACCTCCGCCGTGTATGGTGCGCATACTGCCCATTATTCAGTTGATTTGATTCAAGATTTCTAGAACTTACATCTCCCATGTACTTCTATTATCTTGCAAGGTTTATCTATCTGTAATTCTTCAAAGCAACATGCCGGCTCAAAGATTTTAGTCAAATGCTACCCCCTACCACCTCTTATTTTCCAAGAATCAATTCAAAGATGGAAAGATCATATAATCTTCTTGAGACTCCATAACCAAATCAACAACTTTTTTTCCATTATTTTTTTTGGGTACTGTGATAGTGATATAATCATCTGCTAAACCCCATCACCAAACCAAAACCATTAATTTCTTGCTGCATTTCCTAAGAAGTGGCCAAGAAAACCCAGAAATGCCACATGGTGGTTCAGGAGAGATTCTAAACACCATGAATTACTGGCTCTCAGAGCACCCATCTATAGTGTGGTTCCGATGGAGCCCTACTCAATCATGGGGTTCCACATGGTTATTCCTCTTCATCTCCATCTCCACCTACATAGCCACCTCCACCACCCTCTACTACCTCCTCCTCCTCTTCCGCCGCCGCCGCCCCATCCCACTGGGCCCCATCCCGACCCTCCACAGCCTCATCATGGCACTCATCTCCGCCACCATCTTTGCAGGAACTCTCTCCTCTGCAGCCGCCGAGATCCGCCACACCAGGTGGTTCTGGGGGCGCTCTAAAACCCCACTCCAATGGCTCCTTTGTTTCCCACTCGGAACACGCTCTTCTGGACGCGTCTTCTTCTGGTCCTATGTCTTCTATCTCTCTCAGTTCCTTCAAGCATTCGGTACATTCTTCGCCATTCTGCAACGTCGGAGACTCTCTTTTTTCCAACTCTTCAACGACTCTGCTCTCATCTTCATGTCCTTCCTCTGGCTCGAGTTTTCTCAATCTTCTCAAGTGTTAATAATACTATCCATGACTCTGATTCATGCTTTGACTTATGGGTATCGATTTGGGACGGCCATTGGGTTACCAATTTCTTGCTTTCCATTTGTAGTGAATTGTCAAATTTTGTTGATGTTGTTCAACCTGGGTTGCCTTGTTGGGGTGATTTTTTTGCATTTCTTCAAAGGTGGGTGCAATGGGATTGGGGCCTGGGCCTTCAATTCTGTGCTCAACGTTGCGCTGCTTTTACCATTCTTGAGATTGTATGCAACGGTTCCCTGGAGTAAGAGACTGGTGCTTGTAAAAGAAAAGAAATAGATGATGTGGGCATATCTCCTCGCCATGGCCAATGAGCCATCTCCTCCCCCGCCGCCCGTTATCATGAGACCTGGTGGTTCTGGTGCAGCTCCACCAACCCCACGACGTTGGCTCATCTGCTTCCCACTAGTTTATCGTTTTGAATGTGCTATGGTTTATGATCATGGATTGTGGACAGCCCATAGGACTGGCGAGGGCATGTTAACCGTCAGATTTTATTGAGGGGATGCCACTTGGTCTGCCATTGGTCGTTGGATGCAACCGGATCTTAGATCATCTTAATCTCAGTTTTTGTAAATTTTGAAGTAATCCAATGGAGTTCCAATTAATTATGGATCCCATTATTTTTATGTATTATTTTTTAGGTTTATTTTCCAAAATGATGTGTTCAAACCGGTTTGATCCGCCCATTTATCACCCCTAATTAAATCCGACTAAAATTGATCATAATCAAGACCTCTTCGCACCTCCAAAGCAAAGCTCTGTTGTTATATTGGCTGGCTCTTATCCTTGTGGGATAACATATCCTCTGCTTTGGATCGACATATTCAATGTCAGTCTCATCCAGGTACGACATTGAATATGTTTGTATAAGCTGCCTGTAAATGTTATTATTATGTATAAACTCACTTAAGCTTCAATCACATTGGTTTCATCGTACCTATATTTCATATTAAAACTGATCTGTGATTCTTCTTCTACTTGTCCGTTCAGATTGAATTCGCTATTATTGTACACGATTACAAAGGTTCGTTTCGCAGTGTTGCGCTTGTGCTTGATCGATGGATCGATCGATTTGCTGAGTTTTGCAGTTTTGTTGGCCCATGGCTATAGTTTGTGTTGGTTTCATTGGGCAGGCCCTGTTCCGCTCTTGTTGGCCCATGCTTCAATTAGTTCGCTTTCAGCCCCAGATTCTTCGGGACCCGTTTTAAATTTTTAGGGGCCTAATCTATTTAAGCTCGTTTTGGGCCTCATGGCGGCCTAAGCGTGTCTATCCGTATCGTAACTGTCATTTTTATGCAATCTTATTTTTTATCTTTTTAGTTTTTATTCATATTGTGTTTGTATTGATATTGATATTAATAAAAATTTATTTAATTTTAAAATAATTCATATGATACTATATAAATGAAATTTAAAAAAATATTAAATATCTATTTTTTGTTTACAAATACTATTCATCGTTTTATTCATATCCAACTTTAATTTGACTCAATTATTATTCAAGATAAAAATTATATAATAATTTAGAAAAAACACCACATAAAAGTTAAAAATTGCATAATGGTTTAGAAAAAACATGGTTCTTTGTTGTCGGTTCCCTGTCATAGTCAAATTGAATGGACACAAAAACAGGGATGACATGTTTGAGATCATGAAGTTCGTATTACTAGTTTCCTTGTCATGTCTTATGAGGATCATATTGTTCTCTGTACTCAATCTTTTTTTTGGTGTCCGGATTAGAATACACATAGTTCGACTCATTTTTTTTTTTTGATTCGATCAAAAATAAGTCAAACACGGCAGGATTAAAAAATTCATGAAAGATAAATCGTGTGCTAAGTTTTTGTCAATTGCCTAATCACCACTGTGTCATCTGCACATGAACTTGTAGGGCATTGTGATGCACTTATTGTGTATGTTGATAAAAAGAGGGTCAGGGTCAGCGTCAGGTGTTAGGTTTAATGTACATGGATAAAACCAACCTGACATTATCCTAAAAGAGAAAAACAACAATAGAAAGCAAAGCAGTTGGGTGTCATCAAACTCACCCGAAATACAAAGGGTTTCAGCCTTTCATCATGGAGTTAGGTTAAATTGAAACACTTAGTCGGAAGTACGGGAACCTTTGTCAACCTTCTTTGCGTGTATTAGGTTTCTTTGTTCTCCTGAGGTTAAAGTACTAGTGGGTTCTATAAGCTTGTTAAGTGACATGTACCCTACTTGTACGATCGTCATTCTATTTCGATTTGCCTGAAAAATGAAATATCGATTTGCTACCTTTGTCACCCTAAAGTTTTGATTTTCTTTATCCTTATTCCATAACTACTCGATTGCATTTATACAAACTAATCTTTACCAGTGACATTTTCTCTCATTGAGTCTTGCAGTTGTTGGATCTATTTTTATTCTCTCTCTTTCTTCCCTTAATTCTAAAAGAAAAAGAAAAAAAAAAGAGAAAAGAGAAAAAGCGGAATTAGTCACAAATATCTAATTGTATCTCTAATTGTCTTTATTCATATTTCTTCCTATGTCAATAACTGGAATGAAAAAACAGAGAATATCAACACATCCACAAAAAAAAAAAAAAAAAAATTAATCTCTATCAATAAACCTACTAAAGATCTGAACCATAGAGTATTTATTACAACTACCACGGAAAGACATGTTTTAGATCTCCCTTTGAAAACCCTCTTTTTATTGTAATACATATATGATGAGATGCATATGTATAATAAGTACACTGAATTAGGGTGCAAAGTCACAAATGTGACAATGTTTGACTATATCAGTGAAAAATGAGATTTTGGCAATGCTAGTAAATCCAAGCTAAGCCATCCTAACTTTGGCATAGTGGGTGACTCATTTGATACTCCTGTTGGAAAGAGGAACAAACAATGCATTCGATTAGGTCTAATGAACTTCACAAATCCTTTCAGAAAAAGTTGAACTCTACAAATATCACAATCCCTTGGCCTCAAACCAATCAAGGTTCAACTTACCCAAGACGCGTATGTATGGTATGATTTTTAGGTGACAATGTCGAGGTGGATATCAATTATGTTTCTTGGTGTGAACTGACACAGATTTGTCTCTAATTTGATCTCTAATGCATTGTGTTAGGTGAAACAAACTTAATTTGATCTGAAGAACAAATAAATATAGATGACATTGTCACTTGTACGTTAAAGAGAGAGATTAGAAGGTGGTTGTATATGTTATACATTGAAGCTCCAAAGACTCTTGGTGATGCAACAATAAGCTTTGTGTGGTGATGAAAAAAATACATACACACTAGATTTGTGATATGCCAAACACCTCCGTATTTTTAATGAAACATTTTTTTACCAATACAGCCTTGTAATACTTCTCCTTCTATATATATATACACTCTTAACGTGGTTAGAGACTAATTTGAACAATTAACACCGTTAACTAAATTGACCAAAATAACCTTACTATCTAAAACCCAAAAATATCTAATTGGAAAATATTTAGAAAATTGAAAATATTGTGTTTGTCATCACTTGGAGAAAATATTGGATATAATGGTGATACCATATCATCACCGTCAAGTCGTATCATCATCTAATAAGAGTATAACAAGTAAATCTCACAGATTATACTAACTACCTTCCAAGTTATTTGCTAATCATCCAATGTCTGAAAATAACTATCAAGTGGAATTCATCTTATTCACTTGTAAGCTTATTATTCGATAGTGACACCACATGGAGATGATGGCGTAGTATTAGGTTACTCCCAATATTTACTTGGTCTTTAATACCTTGATAACCTAAATTTCTTACAAGTTGTGAAAAAAATATTAAACGTAACGGTAACACCACATAATATTAATGATACAGTGTCACTAACTAGTAATAAAATACCAAGTAAATTTAGTGAGTTTCATTATTTTACTAATAATATTGATACCATGTTACAATAATGGAGTTCACTAATCCTATTTTTTATTTTATAATTGGTTAGTAATAGCACGCGACAATCATAACGTGCTGCGGTGGTTACATCCAATATTTACTCCAACTTTTTAGGGTTTAAATTTTGGCCCGCAAAACTTGTTAAAGTGAATAGACAGGAAAAAATGAAGAGGTCGAATTATAAAATTATAAATAGGCTGGTTTGTAGTATTGTAACTACCACGATCCCAGCTATAACCCCTCTAACCCTTCTCTCTCTCTCTCTCTCTCTCTCTCTCTCTCTCTCGTAATCAGTCTGTTCTTTCTCTTGTAAAGGCTAATGGCGGTTAAGCAAGGAGTCTCTGTTCTTCTTCTTCTCCTGGCTCTCTTCGTGTCAGGTACAACAAGCCTCCGGGTTTACATTCATATTGCCTAGTACTAATACAATTCTCTCGAATCTTAGTTTTATATCTGATACTTGCATAATTGCGTCAATCGTTCAGTTTGTAAGAAGATAATTTGTGAAGTTTTAATCTGTCTAATCTTCGGTTTTCGTTAAAGAAACTGAAGGTTCTTGGTATGTTATTCATGATGCTATGCATTGTGATTATTGATTAGGCAGTTTGATCACTTTGATGTTCAAGTGTAATTCTACGGTATCGGAAAAATAAAATTGGTATTATTTTTGGTTCTGAAAATTCGTTTTTGGAGACGTGGTTAATTACCCGTTTGATGGGAAATTCTATTTCGGAATGGTTTCTGTTTGGTTACTGGGAAAAGCGAGTAGTTAGAAAGGTAGCCTCTGTTTCAGACTTTTGTTTTCAGATTTTTAACTATTGTTTGAGAAATGAGGAAATCAACCCGACTAGTTCAAAGTAGTTATCTGAAGGAATTATAAATTCAGATATTTCGAATTTAAATGTTAATAATTTTTTTGAATTAAGTCTATTGAATATCTTAATTTCGATATAAATAACATGTTTTTGATTGAACCAAAAAGATACGTTTAAACTAGCCCAACGCCTGAGTTAATAAAAAAAATGAGGAAACAAAAACCTCCTCTGTTACCCAAAATTGGTTCAGATTTTTTTTTTTCACATTATTGGGAATCACTGCAAATTTTCGTTGTTTTTATCTCTTTTCCTTGATTTTCTTAGCATCCAAACGGAGGATGATAGTTTCTTATCTGACCCACATCATTTATATGGCGTTACACAGTGTCAGCCACCGTGTTTACACTTCAAAACAGTTGCGGCTACACGGTATGGCCAGGAACACTCTCAGGCAACGGAGCCGCCGTCCTCGGGGACGGTGGTTTCGCCTTATCACCCGGCTCATCAATCCAGCTTCCGGCACCACCAGGCTGGTCCGGCCGCTTCTGGGCCCGAACCGGGTGCAACTTCGACTCCTCCGGTAATGGCAAGTGCACCACCGGCGACTGTGGCGGCACTCTCAAGTGTTCCGGCGGCGGTGCACCGCCAGTCACCCTCGCAGAATTCACGCTTGGAAGTAGCAACAACGATAAAGACTTCTACGACGTTAGCCTTGTCGATGGTTACAACATGAAAATGGGTGTCCGAGTATTAGGTGGTACCGGGGATTGCCAGTACGCCGGTTGTGTCTCCGATCTTAACGGAAACTGCCCGGTGGATTTGCAGGTGGTGGATTCGGGGTTGGTTGTTGCTTGCATGAGTGCATGTGCTAAGTACAACGCGCCGGAGTTTTGTTGCACCGGGGATCACGCGACGCCGGAGACATGTTCGCCTACTCAGTACTCGGAGATGTTCAAAAATGCGTGTCCTACAGCCTACAGTTATGCTTATGATGATGCTTCGAGTACGTGTACTTGTACTGGATCCGATTATTTGATCACATTCTGTCCAACTGGTTCATGATCAGCTTGATGAACACAAGACAATCATACTCTCATTTGACCATTTATGAGTATAATTTTGGATTAATTTATTGATTGTCATGTTAGTGTTGGTTATTTGGTTGGTTGGTTGTACTTCTATTTTGTTAACCCGTTGCTGTATGTTTGAAGTTGAAAAATGTTATTTGAATATGCTGAATTATAATTACTGAATAGATCGTGTGTCTGAAATCAATGACATTAATTATATTAAGTTTATATTTTAAGCCCATATAAAATTGTTCTTCCAAATTTGGGACTCAATTGTTCCACTAAAATGGGTTGTTGCTAATCCGCACATTTAAGCCAATGGTGTGGGGTTGAACTTAGACGAATTGTGGACTTGGACATTAGAAGTTTGATCCTCATTGAGGTTTTTTGAAATTACCAATCACTAATAGATAGACAAATAAAAAAAATATATCCCACGTAAATTAATAATTACCTCTCTATATAAATTAATAACTAACTACTCTTCTTTCATGAAATATAATAACTATTCAAGTAAAATTTACTTTGTTTATTTAATATTTTATTATTAATTAGCGATATTACGTGATAATGTTGCATTGACTATTTTTTTATATTAAAAAGAAAAGTTCTTGTTTGCTGGGTAAATTACTGTCAGGTATAAGAGTGGGAAGTGGGAACCAACCTTTTGAGCAGATTACCTGTTTGGGTAATTAACATTTAAAAGTTGGAGACGTTGGGCTAAGAAAAGATATTTGGGCTAATTTTAGTTTTCCCATTTTAAATTTCGAGGTAGATCTGGCCCAGTGGGCTAAAGAGGTCCAAAGTTAGTTTACCTTTGTTGCTCCGTTGGTCACATTTTTGGTCCAAGTAGCATTTGTTTGGGCCCGAAACATAATGGAAATGCAAAATGCGAAATAGTTTGAAAAAAAATTCCCCTTAAAATATTTTAGTTCCTTGGGGTATAACGTTGATATTAAGTCATTACTGTCGCTTAATATCACCATCTAATAGAAAGTTTACAAAGGAGTAAAGTGAATTTCACTTTTTTATATAGACACTCATACATGTTGTGGGCATTCATTCATTCACACAACAACTTATTATTGGATGGTATTGATAATGATAATGTGTTTGTTACCGTCATATCAAATATTTTTTCTATGGAATTCTAAGGGGTAGTTTAAGTAGTAATAATAAAAATAAATTATAAATTCAGACATCTTGAATTCGAATCTTGACCTACTCCTTGGGACCAGAACATGAGAAATTTTATCCCCTCATTAAAATCCTAATTCCGTCATGGATAGTATGTCTTTAAACGGATCGGAGAAGGATTAATTGAGGTGCGCGTAAACTGACTCAAACATCCCTGACCGTTGAATTAAAAAAAATGTTATTTTCTCCATGGACAAGACACACTTACCCAAGAATTGTAGTTCCTCGTATGATCATTTCTACCGGTGATAATTTTGAACACTATATATAAAATTAATAAGTTATGATATATTAATTTTTGACATAAACTTGAAAATGACAATGTCCTGATTTTAGGAATAATAAATGAGGGGCAATTTAATTTCGAACAGGAAAAATTAAGGATCGTTTGATAACATTTTTGTTTTCGTGTTTTTAAAAAAATAAAAAACATAGACAATTTTTGTCTCTGTTTTGTGGTAAACACTTAAACAAAAAACATATTTGGGAGTCATTTATGTTTATCAAATTACGAGAATAAAAATAAAAAAACATGTTTGATAACTACTTCAAATTTTATCTTAAATATAAACAGTTGGGCTTCACAGCCCAAAAGAGTTGATTATCATCTTCAGGGCCCTTGCTTATGTAGAAGTTGGTCCAAAACCCCAAGTCCAAAACCCATTTGTGATCCAATCACACATGGGCTTTCGAGCCTCTAACGACTTTCATACATACCAGATGATTTTCAATACGGCACGTAATTTATTTTTTAATGTTTGATATAATTTTTAATAGTATTAATCCATCAAAGATCATCAAACTAATTCAATCTACTCATTAGCTAAAAACAAAAAAAAATGGGACAAAATGGCAATTCAATTAATTTCAAATGACAATTCAATCAATCCTAATAGCAATTCAAGCAATCTCAAACACAACACACATAGAGAACACAATACACACATACAACACAATACACACACACACAGACTCAACGCAACACACACACACACCCACTGGTCACTCACTCACACACACAAAAACTCCACACAACACAACACATACACGCACAGACTCGTCATTTGCACACATACACACGCACAGATCTGTGCATATATATGCTTATATACACAGAGAGGTCTTCGTCTTCTGGGTTTCACAGAGAGCGAGAGACATAAAGAAAGAGAAAGAGCATCGTCTTCTAAGTTTCACAAAGAGCATTTTCTAGAGAGGGAGGGAGCATCATCTTCTTCCACAGAGATAGAGAGATCGTCTTCTTCCATGCCATTGGTTTGTTTTCGTTCGTAGAGAGAGAGAGAGTCACACCCCCACCCCGAATCACATAGGGTGGGCGGCGAACCGGCCACCAAAGTCTTAACCAACCAACTCTGTGCATAATAAATGCATAATACAGCGAAAGACAAACAATAAAATGATCCAATCCATCGACCTAATGAATACCAGAGGAATAAATTAAACATCACCGATTGCATTATTAAACTCATGTAAAACAATAATTAAACCATAAGGTTCACTACTTTAAACAAAAGTAACATTGTTCTCAAAACAATCAAATACTTGTCTCAAAACTATAAAAGACGTTTATTCCTGAAGACCTACAATAAAATAAATTTTCGATTCCTCTAATCCCTTGTCTATCCGAGGACTTACTCCTCCTCCTGATCCTCACCTGAAAAAAATGTTAAATGTTTGGGTGAGCATAAAGGCCCATAAATAGCAACCACCTCTAATGAGGTGTGAAAATAACTCTCACAGTTTATATACCAAAAATAAACTTGATACATACATAAGTACAACAAGGTGTACCCCAACCTCTCTCACATAATCATTTAAACAAAATGATTTCATGATCACAAATAATTTTATAAATAAAAAGACATTTATAACTCAAAACACTCACACACAATCAATTCCAAACACATTTGTAAAATCATGTTTGTTACCACTAGCCTGGTAACTGGCTCAATCTCTTGTTACCACTAGCCTAATAACTGGTATAGTCTCTTGTCATCACTAGCTTGATGACTGATCCTGTCTCTTGTTATCACTAGCCTGGTAACTGGCTCAGTCTCTTGTCATCACTAGCCTGATGACTGACTCAGTCGCTTGTTACCACTTAGATTTAGTAACCCCAGTCTCAGTCGCTTGTTACCACTTAAACCTAGTAACCCCCAGTCACCGTCTCATAAACATGATTTACACACACACACACACCAAAACTGTAGTTTTAAATCCCAATACACACAAAATTTCCCCTTTCATCACCAAAGCAATGATATAAAATCATCCCCAAAGCAATGATATAAAATCATCCCACAAGTTTTTCACAATTCACATTTATAACAGTTCACAATTTTAAAATATTTAATTACAATCTCAAACATCAACACATATATCATATATATGAAAAATCCACATGCATGCACCCACACATTGAATATAGAAAATTCTCCCAAAATAAGTAGTAAACTACTCACCCTGATTTTCAAAATCCAATTCAAAGCACTCTTTTCCAACCTCAATGAAATCACCACCTAATCCAAAATAGCATATAACAATTAATATATATTCCTACTTTTGTCATTTCGCGATTCTATATTTAATTTTTTTAATATTTCTCACTCATTGATCTATAATTAATATATCTTTTACATATAAATATCTTTTATAATACGAGGTAATAGGGTATGGAAGTATTCTGGACTGTTTGGAAATAAGTTTATAAAGTTTTGGGGTCAAATTATAATTTTTGAAACTTTTGAGGTCAAATTGTAATTTCCTTAAATACGAATTTTCTGTTTTCAGGCTTGCTATAAATTTTCCAGAACAGTATTTAAGGTTTTAGAGACCCATTTTCCAAGAATACAACCTCAATTTGATTTATTAAAGTAAATATTGATTTTTTTTACACTTAATCGAAACTTTTACGGGTCATTTCAAAATTTCAGAAATATTTCAAAACTCGGGAGCTGTTTTGACATAACTATATTTGTTTCAAACATATTGGATCAGTTTTATAAATTACCAAGTTCCATGATAGTCAAAAATTGAATTTACAAAAATTTAAGAATCAAAATAAAACTACTTAAAACTAAAATAGAGGTTTCCATAATTTCAAAACTTTATCTTCTTCAACCTTACGAATCCTGCAGTCTGTAACTTTCTGGTTTCTTCCTTCTTTGTTTTCTTTTTGCTTTGTAAGACAATAAATCAATTCTTTAAAGGCCTCAAAAATCACAAATCTATGTTAGATCTCAAAACACTTAAATTAATTACTTCCAATAAAACCCTTTTATATAAATACATCACCATTCTTCACCATTAACATATATTTAAGTTGAATAACTTCAATATATAATTGAATAACTTACAAACCTACTAATAATGAATTCATACCTTTAATGAGCCCAAATCCCTTCTTCTTATTTCTTCCTTCCTTCCTTCTCTCTCTCTCTCTAGCGGCAGAATCCTCCTTTCCTTTTTTTTTTTTTACTGCCTACATATATGTACATACAAAATAAAAGAAACCCTACAATAACCCTACGGTTCCTTATTCATTAATTACACTAACATCCCTTTTTAAAAAAATAATATCACAAATTGACCTAAACTAAGTTATATATATATATATATATATATATATATATATATATATATATATATATATATATATATATATATATATATATATTTCAAAAATTTGGAATATTAGAGAGAGAGAGAGGCTTGAAGTCATGTTTTATAGTTCTACAAAAAAATAACACATTTTGTTGGCAATGAGGATCGAATTCGAGACCTCATTAAAATTTTCAATAGTGTTGCATGCGTGTTTTGTGTTTCAAGTGTTTCTTAGAACACAAATTTTTTGTTTCCATTTTTTTAGCTTGTTTCCGAGCCAATTAAGATGAAACACACAAAACAAGAGACAAATAAACGTGAATTGAAAAAAGCAAGTCCTTCACGTTCAAAAAAAAAAAAATAAGCCAGTCCTGGAGCTGGAAGCTTTGAAGTCATATTTTGTGGTTGAAATGATCAGGCTTTGCGCATTAATTGGAATACAATCTTTAGCAACAGAGCAAGGGACAATGATCAATTAAATTTATTCTAAGGTCAATCAACCAGACCACAAACCATAGCAAATTCTTGTCACTGCTCTCCCACTCTCTACCTGTCTCTAGAGTTGCTCCAATCCAACACAGGCCACAGAGAAACTCTTGAGAGGTGGTGACTTATTTCTACTTGCACCTACTTTCAGGTGCGGTTGGGAGGAGATGGTGGAGGTGCATGCCGTGGAAACTTTGGTGAATAGGGCGGACTTGGTGGTGGGGGAGAGTAGAAGTAGAACCAGGCGGGCGGTGGAGGTGGTGGTGGAGATTTATGCTGCACGAATCCCGGAGGACATGGCTTGGACTTGGGCGCAGGTGGTGGTGGTGGACTCACACGGTGGCGGTGGTGGTAATGGGTGGTTGTGTATGAGTGAAGAAGTGCAGATAAATCCGTAAATACCAAAAGAGCAAGCAAAAAACTCCATGTTTGTGTTAGAGAGAAAATCATTTTTATGTGGAAAAAAGTTGATTACTTTCTTGCTGGAATAATTTGCTATTGCAAACAGAGACAGATTTATAGGACAAACAATCAGTACCAGTTTGAATGCTTCATCTGCAATGGTCAACAAAGGTTAGGGAGAAATGCTATAAAGTCTTCTTAAGGCAACTACCACTTTACTTTTTTCGCATGTTCTCTTTTGCTCTAAAATATTGTTGTATTCAATGTTGACTTAAAAAAGCCAAACTTTTTCGCTTGTAATTTTCTTATCTTGATTGATTTGTATGGTAGATTGAATTTGTGAATAAGGGTGTTAATTAAGATAAGTTATTCGGATTCAGTTCAGATAAAATTTTGTTTAAGTCTGACTCGTGTTCTAAACGAACTGAGGTTGAATAATTTTTTAACTTCATTTAAAAAAACAAGTCTAAAAAAGCTCAACTCAAGTTTGAAAGGCTTGAACTTTTTATATAAAAGCTCGAACTCAAATTCGCAAAATTTCGCTTTATTAACACCCCTATTTGTAAAAACAGTTCAAATAAAAAGTCATCAAGTCACAGTTTTAGAAGCTCACTCAGAGCAGTTTTTAGTCAAGGTATAAGTATAATTTACCTATGATTTAATGGGTCACGAGTTTATGTTTTTGTCACGATTAAAAGAAAACTAATACGATTTTTAATTATATATAAAAAATAAAAAAAAAAGTAGTTAGAGAGTATGAGACTGCAGTGAACGTGATGAAAGTGTTGAACTTTGTAAGTTAAGTTACCAGCACTAGTCTTAAAAGTGCGCATTGGATGCTCTACAGTCAAGGCAATGATAACCGAGACAATGAACACACCATTGGCTCGAGTCAAAATGCGTTTGGTACAAAGCCACGGAAAGTGGCTGATCAGGACAATGATGGGGGCTTATGCCAAAGAAAAAATGGGACATATCCACAGAAAAACCGACTTTTTCAAAAACATTCCAAATGATTTCAAGAACTTTTTTAACTCTCAATCTTTTTATTTCATTTCTGTTTCACACCCAAAAAATCAGCTCCAATCGAGCCCATAGTCTAAACAGCATTATGGAGGCAATCAGATCACTGCTCTGACAAAATAAACAGCATTTTCTCATTCCACATCAATCATTCTTCAAGGTTGGCCTATCATAATTAAAACATCAGAATACACATCTAGAAAAAACCCACTTCCCTCAGTCATACATTCAAGTTCAACTAAGCTTAAAAGGCCCAGGAGGAGGCTTCTTTAGAGGTCGGTTAACGAGATCACATATATGTACACATAACTAAACAGACTTAGCAACAAGTCAATCCTCTATAACTTAAGGATGCCAACCACCTACTAAACCAAAAGCAGCAATAAAGCAAAGGATACATATTTTACATATATTAACTTCGGAAGGAAGGAAGGAAGGGGCAGGCCATTAGGTCACAGTATTTGTTAGCGCCAACAATCAAATGCAAAGACATCTCTCTCACTCTCTTTGCCCAGAGGTCATTTGCACACTGTTTTCAGTCGCTTCGCTGCCTGCACAAACCCAGCAATGACCTGCAATTCGTCCAGGTGCTTCACCAAAGAAAGAGTTCAAATGATCAATTGCATTGTCATCACACACAGTTAATGCAAGCAAGTGATAACATTGGATCAGGACAATGCTTTGGTTGTCAAAAAGACAAATAATAAATGAAAAATATCAAATATGTGTTTCTATAGGCAAGAATACTTTTGCTTTCATATGTGGTAACTTGCTACAATTTGCGTAACTACTGTTATAATTTATAGCAGCTACAAGTTATTTTCATCTACACATTAAAGAATACTCATTAATTGATATGCAGAAGCTGTTACAAATTAAAACACTTAACAATCAGTCAGGTGGATTCCACAATTAATTAAGAGTTCCAGTTGATCATTTACTAGACCTTTTGCACAGTTTGGTATCATATAGTTCATGGCCCATAAAAATTGCACAAGCAAGCTCAGAAGTACCTGTGATGTAAAATGCCTCTGAACAACATCAATTAGTTGCTCTTTAGATGGGTTGGGGATGGCATCCACCTAGTAAAATGAAAACATTAACGCATACAAATACACACATTCCAGGCGCTGCAGCCATCCTGGAAAAAAAAAACTAATATCCGCCAATGCCTGACACTAAACAACTCACAAGGTTAAAGTGTCGCCAATATCTCCATAAGGCAGCCATTTCTAGTTTGCTGAGGTCAACCTTCTGTACAGATGTAAAAAACTTGCACAGTTTAGAAAACAGACATGAAACAAATGCAAAATTTGCATAGAGTCAAATAAAGAACTAACATAAAGAATGTAAATAAAAGGTAAAAAACAAATAATAATAATAACAATAATGAAACATAAAAAGGCTGCTTACCGTGGGCCCCCGAGGAGTAGAAACTGATCCCTTAGACTGTGAGTCACAAGAGAGAGACCTGCTCGTAGTCTTCTGAGATGACCCAGATTTATGCATCCGATGCTTAGATCTGTGGGACTTTTGAGTATCATCGGATGCTGAAGAATTGGAAAAAATCACGCCACAATCATGTCGGGTGGTGGGCCACAAAGAACAAGAATAAAGGAGTGCAATAACAGAGCTTAAAGCATAAAAGTTTAAAAATGGATAGAAAGGATCCTATGTAACTACCTCAACAGCCTTTCTCTAAATTAAACTATAAAAAATAGGCAGAATGATCAAAATCCACTACTACAGTATTACTCTCCAAAATTCACTTAAACCGATAAAAATTGGGGAATTCTCTTTTCCAATTACAAATGTCTTCTAATCCTCAATCCCACTTGTTCATAATACCTCTAGCCAAGAACAAGGCAACAATATCTCTCAATCTAAGACTAATAATGTCAGACATCCTCAACCGGATGGCGGATCAAAATATGCAGAAGGTAAGCCCATTATTTCTAGCAATAGAGGAAACAGTACCAAACAATTCTGGATTAGATCAGAAAGCATCTCCAAGTTTTGGATAGCAAGAGCACAAAGCAGTTTGTAGACTTTGTTAGACAAACTCACCCAGATCCGAACCATTCCACTGCACATTCTCGAATTCAATGTCATCATCTTCCTCATTACCAGTCGGAGCTTCAAGCACACTCAGGGCATTCCTTTGTAGCTTTACTTCTATGCCATTTGTAAGAACCTGCATTTTGTAAGCTAAATATTCAATTTCCACTTTTAAAAGAAACAACAATGCATGACGAATTAGTGAGACTAAATATACAGATATATACATATTCGTCTCGAACAGTATTGCATCAATAACTCTTCCAGGTACAGGAACTCCCTAAAGAAAGTACTGAAAAATGTCTCATTTGGCATTGAACCTCAGGGTAGGAGAAATACCTATATTTATGCACAGAAAGAAAGAGAAAATTGATTCAATTTGAAACAACCTACTATGTTGCCTGCATAGGAATCCATTCAAGGCTACATAGATTCTAATATTTTCAATGAACATCATAAAAAGGAAAAACAATCCAAGTCTTCAGCCACAATAGTCAATAGGGATCAAGAAACACAGAATTAAAAAAAAATCATTACCCAATAAAATAGTGATTGCTAATCCCATCAGGAATCCGAACAAGTACTTAAAGAAAAATTAAAAGCGGACATTCATGGAAAACCAGAAAACCCTATTCTCACCCTCCCTAATCCAGCTCAAATGTACTAGTTCCATACAATACGTGATAAAAAGTTAATATTAATCCAAAAAGCATTTGGATAACTCAACCATTAATTGCAAACCCACCAATCCAATTAAATGCTCAAAGAATTCTCATCACAGAAGTACCATTCGAATCATGAATCAAAACATAACAGCCCTTAAAAGAAATTTCAAAGCAAAACAAGGATGATATTACTTAAAAAATCTTATCAAACTTGCAATTGACAATCCTACTTAACAGGGAAAAAAAGTTAAACGCCTAGATCCATGGATTAACAGTGATATGCCAAAGAACCCCAGTTCCAAAACTCACAATTTGGATTCAATATCAGAATAAGACAATTTGGTGAAATTTTTCCCTTAAATAACCTCAAATTGCAAAATTGATCTCGGAAGAAGTTAATACATTGAAAATACAACATTATTTAGCAAATATGCAAAACTTTAAGAAAAAATAAGATAAATCATTGCAGATAGACTGAAAATGCTGAAACAATAAATAATACAGCATCAGGATGTAAGAAACAAACCCAAAATTCCCAACTTTACACCAATACAACTAATTACACCCACATTGGTAAGAATACAACTAATTAAAATCATGAAAAAGCCCAAACCGAAACCACATTACACAAAGAAACGCAAACTCAATAGAAATCAAACCCGAAATCAAGTAATTTTCCCAAATAACCAAAAATTGTAAACTCTATTTACCAGCCAATGCCACCCTCCAAGCCCAACAGCCTTCTTGACCACTCCTTGAAGACCCACAAGCACCGACTTAGTACGGTTGTTCCCAGTGACAATCACCTTGGTGTGCCGTGGCAAAACAGAGAGCTCTTCTTCACTACTATCTCCATAGCTCTGTAACTGTGAAAACCCACCATTGACGGAACTGTCAACTGCTTCAAGCATTTCTATGACAACTCAGTGAGTCTTGTGAGCCGAAAAACTCGGTGAATTTATGGGTTTCAGCCAGTGAAATTAGACGTAATAGAAAGATCATGCATTGCAGAATTTGAATATGAAAATATTGAGAAAAATGGAGCGAGAGGTAAAGTAGAAAATGGGAATTTCTCAGAAACAGAAAACACAACTGTTAGAGAGAGAGAGAAGATGAGAGTGACTGTGTGTTTTCTTTATTGCTTTTGTGTTGTGTTAGCTATGAATCCCCGACTACACGAAATCGACCAATAGAGTGACACCACGTATACACGCTCGTTAATAATGCGTTTGAGGCTTGCGTTGGGGGGCATGATGTAATACCACTAGCGGTTTCGTTTTAGGGTGCTTTGACCTTTTGACTACTTGTGTACTGAAGTAGTGGACGATGTTAAATGACAAAACTGACCTCCGTGTTTAAAAGAATAAAGTATATAATGGCGGTTTGGTAATTGGAATTGGAGACTGGGAGGGGCAAACTAAGGAAAACGAAATTTTACGTGTGAAGCCATAAGGCCCATAACAGAAACCGGAACTTCATCAGGAAGCCCCACGTGTACGGTGGATCTCTACCTGCCGTCGGTGTTGTCGTGTACTAACTTTGGACGAATTACAATTTAACCCATCAACTATGCCCTATATCTTATGTAATGCCCCAACTATTAAGTTTTTTCATAATATCCCCTCAACTATAAAAATTAATTTTTTGTATACAATAGAATACATGATTCTATATCTGCACGAGTAGTCTAACGTTATAGAGTTAACTCTAGGATAGCCCTACACTATACATCTTGAGTTTGACTTTAGCCGATGTCTTGACCTAATTGATCCTTATGATTCATTGGCAACTTATAAATATTCAAATTTACTATTGCGAATGAGTCCAAAAGCTCTTGTTGTTGAAGTGTTCCACACTTCATTTAAAAAAAACATTTAATGTTTAACAGTGTGAAATTAAATCTATGACATGTCACACACCAGTATCTCTTAGGTTTGATTCTAACTAATGTCTGAGTTTAATTGCAATCTTGGACGTGTTTCTCATTAGAAAAAACACTTTCAATGTCTATAATTAGAATAGATCAAATTCAATAACTACAGTTGAAAGTTTTAGAAACGCCAGAGTTAAGGAAGTAATAAACGTAACGGTTGGTGGCATAAATGAAATAGAGGCATAATTGGGAGGTTAAAATATAATCTATGCACCCTTATCTATTGTGCCCATACATAACTTGACAACAAAAATAAAATATAATATAAAAATATCTTGCCTCCTGTCCTACCCTAAGTCCTAACTAGCTTTCCCGCCATAAATGAGCGACATGGGCCGTCGATCTAAGGTGACGTAAGTTCCAACCCTTGGATCATTTCGGTGTGAATCTAGGCGTTGGATTGGAAAAAGCAGACATGTTTGATATCCCATATATGTGTAATTAAGTAAATGTAATGATCACAAAGTTGAAATTGAAAGGCTTGTCTGTCCTTTTTCACAACGCAATTGTCAAAAAACTAAATGATAGGGACAAAAAAGAAAAAAAAGAAGAAAATGAACGCATGCTGCGAATCCGCATCAGGAGTCATGTGTACATGTCATGAGAGTCAATCTGACCCGCTCGCTGTTACATGGACCTACACACCACTCACGGTAAAGGCAGTGCAGAACCATAAAACTTGCTGTGGTCAACAACACTATTATATAATTTCCCAACTACTAACACACCTAATAATTACTTTTTGACTCATAGGCCCTTGCGGTACTATATTTAAGCTTGTTTTTTGGGCTCATCATATAGTGGAGATGTTTTATTTTGCTTTTGTATTATTTTATTTATTTATTTTTTGTTTCTTTTCTCTTTTTTCTTTTGCTGTTTCGAAACACTTTCATTTTTCTTTTAATCCTCAATTCAAGTGTAAGAGAGAATGCAGCATTAATCATGACTTTTAAGTGTATGAATTATTTGTGCTATCATAACACGATACAATTAATAAATAAATTAATCAAGTTAGTATCAAATCATTTGACAAGGTAGAAATAAACTTTAACCCATACATTCCTTTATGCAACTTGATTATCATATTTACTATATAATCATAGGAGGCTCTTGTATTACACTATCAGAAATGCTAGACTGATCAAATTTGAAGCTGAAATGATGTGGCAGTTGATTTGAACTTCTTTCATTGATGTCATGTCATTTGAGCCCCAATAAAAATTTCAAATAATCAGCTGTCATGTCATTTAAATTCTAAATTTGGTCACAAAATTTGATCAATAAAGCATTACTCTTAGACTATATATGAATTGCCATTGCTTCATGCGGTAATTAATGTGTGAGAACATAAGCACAAATGAAACTCTAATAGATAGTTCAAATGGTAACAAGGCCAACGCTATCAATTCAAACATTCTGAGTTCGAATATTGACAATTTAATAGAATCAGGTCACGTGAGATTTATCTCTCATAAATACCTAAGTCCCAGCGTGGATGATTTGTCTTTAACCAGACTAGGAAAAAAATTAATCGAGGTGTACATAAACTAATTCAAACATCCTTGAATGTTGAACCAATAAATAAAAAAGGAAAAACTTCATCTACACCCCTTGTAATTGTAGTTAATCATATCTTCAGAGACACCCCCTATAGATTCTAAAACTTCACTGTCACCCCTTCTTGTTTGTATTATCGCTTCACTTACACCCCCTATACAGTCCATTTCTATACTACAAAAAGTGGATGACATGACTGAAATCTTTAATAAAATTTCAAAATTACCCTTTTATGTATAAATAGACTATGCCATCATTTACACAATTTATTTATAGTACTGGAAACCCAATTTGATCAGTACATAGATTGAGTGGAAAAGTCCAAAAGTGTTGTAGAAGTTCAACATTACAGTTATTAAATTTATCAAAATATTGAACTTATGATTATTCTGTAGGATTAATATTGTAATTTGTTAGACTGTTTTAATTTACTGTACATCAACTTGAAGTCATTCATAATATATTGATCATCAAAATGTAATTAGTATTGTGTCACTTTACACCTGAGCTCCATGGGATAATAGTCAAAGTACACAAAAAAAACCCAGTCAACAGTGAAGTCACTTTACACTTGAGCTTTAACAAAATTATATCCCTAGGATCATAATCAAACTATACAAAAATTACACAAAAATACCCAGTCAATAGTCAAAATACACAATCGAGTCAGCATCTTATGCTTCCCCACAGCCTTGGACAAGCCCAGTTTGTTCCCTTTCAGTGGTTGCCTACAACTCAAGGAACATTATTTAGTACTTAATTACAATATACTAGAAATTACAATAAACTAGAAATTATAATCATAATCACCATAATGTTATAGACTAAAAATTATACCGGCTCACAATTCTGAGTTATGGTGGTCCCTTGAGATGTTGATTGTTGAGCCACTTCACCATCAACTTGTCCTTTAACCTTTGAACCCTTGACGGGTGCCCGTTGACATGACCTTCTATTATGCTCAAACTCTTTGCATATGCTGCATTTCATACTTAGACACCTTCTAGCAGCACTAGGTCCACCTATAGGTTCATTTGCCTCCCTACGCCTATTTATTTTGGGTCTACCTGGTAATCTCCTAAGAGGGGGAAGGACTAAAGGATCACCAATAGTTGGTGGCCATTTCCTTTGGTCTTGAAGCGAGTGAATCATTAGTTCATGAGCCTTCAGAAAAGCATATGCTTGAAGAAGTCATGACAATATTCTTCAATATTCAATCTCTTGTGAGCAATTGCCTGTGCTGCATGCTTACATGGTATGCTTGATATACTCCAAGTCATGCAATAACATGTTCTTTGATCAAGTCTTACTACATATCTCACTCCAGTATCCATAATCTCATAGTTAAACCCACCAGCATGCAAGACAGAACATTTCCTTGATTCTCCAATGATTTTGTTAAGTTTTTTCCTTATGTTCTCTATGACCAACCCTTCCCAAGTGCTGCCCCTATCATATCTCTGTAGAATCCTAATCATGAACTTAGTTCTTATCCCGTCTAAAAGTGTAAGTATTGATTTCAACCTTAGTGATCCTACCCAACTATTGAAAGATTCTGTCATGTTATTAGTCACATGGTCACTCTTAATCCGACAATCAAAGGCATGCCTTGCCCCTGAGCTTATAGGCAGCGTAAGCAACCACTGGTATGCTTCTTGAGACTTAGACTTGAGTTGCAACATTGCTTCATTAAAATCTTCTTGGTTATAGGCTTTAGCAGCCTTCCAAAATAGTCTTCTAAGTAATACACCAGGAAATTTTGTCTTAAAATTCGCAAGCAAATGCACACAACACGTACGGTGATTTGCCTGTGGAAATATTCGCATTATGACATTATCCAGTCCCTATATCACATTTAAACAGAAGATCATAATCACAGTTACAATATCCCAATTACAGAAGCACTGTCACAGTATTTCAGTTACAGTTTGCTCACAACCATAGTTATAACATCTTTAAAAATCACAATAACACAGGAAAAAAATCCTCAATATAATATTGGCAAAATAACAAACCATACTCAAATAAAATAGTTTTAATATTGCATCTAATCTCACCTTCAAACAACTAAAACCTCCTTCTTTGGAAAAAAATATATAACTTAGAAAAAATATTAGATAGCTTTGGATCAACAAAACCATGGGTAAATCATAGACGTGGCATGAAATATAATGAAACTAGTACAAAAAATCACATGAGTGCTACAAAAAAATTAACTGGTCTAACATGATTATCACTAAACACCAATTGTCTAACATACACATATCTGGTAGGTTTCCATATCAAAAAGTCAAGGATTTCTGTACAAAAAAAATAGGGGATTTCGTACAACAAAAATTATGATAAATTTCAGTGTTTTTTTGTACAAAAAATAGGGTAAAATTCAGTTTTTTTTCATACAAAAAATTTAGGGCTTGTTCGTACCTATTGATCGATCGATGATGACTTGATCTTCTTGAAGTACAAGTGAATCGAGCCTCTTATCATTCGATCATTTTCGACTCCAAGGATTCGAACGGTGATCAAGTAGAAAACTACATACTTTCATAGAACAAGCAATCAAGCGATTGGATCTCCTCTCCTTCAATCACTCTCTCTCTCTCTCTCTCTCACTCTCACTCTCTCTGTGTGTGAACCAGAAGGCAAAAACGAGTGGCTGAAGTCACTGTAGTTCTTGACCAAAAACAAAAAACTCACTCTAGTTGCTTTATTTTTATAGGTCTGGTTAGTATATCAACCCAAGGTTAAACACAAGTTTGTTATTTATGTATAATGTAATATATGAGAAAAATATATATAGATACATATTATAGATATAAAATATTTCATGGGCATTTTAGTAAATTTACTATATCTGTTAACGTCGTTAGCCAGTAACAACTGACAAGGGGTGGCAGTGTAGTTTCAGAATTTACAGGGGGGTGTCTCTGAAGATATGGCTAACTATAGGGGGTGTCACTGAAATTTTTCCAAAAAATAAAAAAGCACAAATGAAGGCAGAGCCACATGCCTTAAAAAACTATATGAAATGGGAAGTCCAAATTCTTTCCTTTGTGTTAAAAATTGAATATCTTATCCATATCTACATTCCTAGCTTTAATGCTCATCATCTTCAAAACCTAAAATCTATGTATGTATGGTGTAGAGTTGATTATAGATTGGTGGATATTGATTACAACACTGCTACTCCGCGTACTTCATCATAAACTCAACTCAGCCAATGGGTAGTTATGATCCCACCTAGCTTGACTCAATTCAATTAGTCATACAAAAATTTGGTTGTCAAATTTTTTTATCAAATCCCTATCTTAAATAATGTCACACGATTTTCACTATCAAATAAACGAGTCTTATTAGACTATTAATGTTAAATAATAAATGTGTCACGTTATTTGAGATGAAAGATTTGATAAATGTAATATTTTTATTACATAAAATCATTCTTATCCCTTACATCTACTTTTGTATACGAATGTGATGCCTCACTACCATGCTTCACATTTATTTTTCTTTCTGGGGCAACACACTCATACTTCCCTTGAATATGGGAGAGTATGATGTACAATTTTTAATAACACGAATACAATGAGTTTTTTTGAACAGCTAAGAAATTATCCATCTCTATATATGGTGGCATATTTTAAAGTCTAGTACCACTAGCTTGGCAAAAACCATCTCCTTTTCGCTTTCTCACTACGAGATTAAACATTCCAAGGTCCAACCAATCCCAGAAGAAATGCTCACACATCCTCTGATCAGGTAGCTTCTTGTATAAGAGACCTTGAATATTGACTGTCCATGGGATCTTTTTTACGGTGGAATTGGCAAAAATAGCAGTATTTTTAAGCTCTAACCAATATAGGCAACAACAATCACCCTTACAAATGTACATTGTTCTGCACATCTTAGCTATATTTTATTAGATGTCATACAGATAAAAAAGATGACAATTTCGGTATCATAGCTCAAAATGTGTTTTGGCATTTAATCTTCTTTTAATTTATCTCTGACCATTGTAAAAATAATAAAATAAATAATCTTTACACATGTCAAACTTTCACTAGAATAAAAAAAAAAGATGTATGGTAACACAGTTGACCCCAGGCAGAGGACATTAATAAAGTGGGGAAGGTGGCATTAAATATGTACGACCCCTCTGAAACATGTTCGTTGCTTCTTGACCAGGGAGCTTGACCCACCAAAGCCATGGGAATAATCCAAGCAGGCACTTGTGACTGGGAATGAAATAGGTCAATGGCCATCTCTGGGTTCTTATGTACTACTATTTCAGAAATGTGTTGCCGGTTAGGGCTACATGGGGATATAATAGATGGAATGGGAATGGCCCACATATAGACTTAGGTACCCTCTAATACTTTTTCTCCCCATTTTTTTTGGTTTAGGCAGATCATCTACTATGATGATCAGTGAGGGATTCCCTTGAATACAACACGTCCCAGTTGAATTCATAAAAATGAAGAAAACCATATTTGAGAAGATCTCACCGTCCCCAAAGACGATCTCTAATCTCTTAACCACTTGATTTGGACAACTCGGCATGGTTTATCTACTGATGGTCGACTAATCAACGAGAAAGGTCCATGACAATCAACAAGTGATCAAGGATAATGTGACTCACATGTATGTATGTGTGTGTGCGCGATTGGTTGGGCTGTGGCTACATCAACTGTGGTGTAATGCATACATTCCGCGACAATGTAATCAAGAACAACAAGAGGCAGAGATAAGTTTCACATTCATATTAAATATGCACAATACATTACAACAGTGGATAAAAACAACTTTACAACAGATATATGGCCAGAGGAGGTCATTCTATTTTCACAATTACAAAGAATATGACAAGAGAAGTCTCCTCTAGCTCTGCATTTATGGTATCAGTCTCCTACCTTTTCTCTACCTTGAGTTCGTTTAAAAGAAAATGACAATCAATCTCCTCCATCTTCAAAAATCTACTTTAAAATGCTATGAAAATCATTTTAAAATAATCTTGTCCTTTTCTTTTTCAATCTTCTTTCTTTCCCCTATTTCTTTTCATACTTTTTTTTTCCCCAATAATCAGTACTAATAGTCTAGAACTATTCCTTCATCCCCTGGAACAGGAATGCATAATTGCTGCCACCCCCTAGCATCGGATGCAATCTCTGACCAAATTGGTTTTAGTGATATAAAGTTATGCAATACAGTTGTCTACTAGATATGATACCCTATTTCATATGCTGTAGTGCATATGAATTTTGTACAGAGGCTCTAGAATGGCATGAAGCATAGATATTTCTTCTTCAGCTTTTTCATTCTGACAACAACAGGCTCAGTCTGCCCTTCTGAGACAGGTTTAGCGGTACTAGATGATTCGGCGACATTAGAGAAATTTGATGTACCTCCATTTATATGGTTCGCCTTCAGCCTCTTGACAGCAGCATGCTCAGGGACTCTTCTTTCTATGAATTTCTCCTTACTAGCTGAAACAGATTGGGTCCTTTCCACAGGCAACTTACTTCCACATCCACTAATTAGAGATCCTGTGAACAAAGTTCAAATAAAATAAGTGCTACAGAAACAAGTAGTCTACTCTGATCCCACTGAAAGAAAGAATAAACTAAGCTTGGAACCTAATCAGGACAAGTTTCTTCTTATTATCGAAGAACTAATATGGTCTTAACTTTCCCTGAGGATAATTCTTACTTCCTAGTCTCCATTAGATGAATTATTAGATAGATACTAAATCAAATGCTTAAATGCATGAATACAGCAGCAAAGGGTGGTGTGGCCATTCAAATGCAAGAAAAAAAAATGAATCCTTTATTTCTCTTCCTTCTCTTACTCATGGGGAGAAACAAAAATAGGGTCTTCCAGAGGAAGCATAGAAGGCACACTCAGTAGCACGCTTCATCTCGAAACAGCACTGCAAAAACTCACAAGGGTGGCATGGATTGTGATGCACCCACAACCTCAGGGTCCTCCTGAGCTTCCATCATTTCTTAGGTCACTAGAAATGGAAGGGGATATACTCCCACATCAAAAAGCAACTACATTGGATCAAAACATTTTAATGCTGTGTTTTTATCATAGAGACAAACTTAATAATGCACGACATCTCTCAAAGCACCCATCATATTCTGCGCTTATCCAAATCTTTCAATTACCAGTTTGATCATCTAAAGATCAATATGGTTTAACATCCTAATGCAAATCCTGGATTGGTAGACCCTAGTTACACGCAAGCTTTTAATCCTGTAAAGTCTAGAATAGTTTAAAAAGGATGAAGATGAGAATCCTGGCATACCTAGTGTGGCTGGAGGCATAACCACCTCATTTGGCCTGACAGATGCAGATACATTCAACTTGAAACTAGAATCCTTCTTTGGCAAGTCTTTGTTATTTCCATCCTCAAGATCTTGCAACAGGGCCAATGTATCAAAACACTCTTCTGATGTCAAGGACAGACAGCTCGAATTGTCTGAACTGGAAGAAGGTGAGTTGGGGTTAGCAAGATCGTGTAACTCCAAGTAGTCACCTCCTAAAATACAATCAAGTTCATGCAGATTTTCTGCAGGAGGATCTGTAAATCTCTCAGCCACAGTTAATAATCCAGTCTCTTCATCACTCTTCTTCACCTACGAGACATTAAAAAATTAGGTAAAGCATGTGAACACAAATAAATGCAAAGAATGGCCCCAAACTCCCAAACAGAACAGTGGCAACCCCAATCTTCTCCTCATATAACTCAGACAAACACACAAGGTTATAACCCAGTGTTGGTCCACACACACAGCTGTTGAGACTGAAATAAGAACACTTCACTGCATTAAGCTCGGCATAAGAAAATTATTAGAAGATTGCGGACCAAATCAGAAGGATCCTTATCATCCATTACATAAACAACATCCAAGATTTTCTGTGCAACATTTTACCATCCAACATTTTGCACATAAAAATACAGGGAAAACAAAGTTGAGCAATCAGCCCAGTAAAAGTACGCACCTGGCATTCACTTCTAGAACCTGGTCCGGTGCTACCATCAGCTTTTGGAATAGTTAATGGGGTTGAATGGGGGAGGTTTCTACCATCAAAAGCAGTACTGCCGTGTTTGGGGTGCATTTCTATATTTGGGCTTTGCCTACCTGTATGAAAGACTCTGCATAGAGATTTTGAATCCTGCAAGTCCAACCAAAACGGCAATTGACTGGCAGGTCGGTCAAAGATGAGAATAAAAGTAGTGGTCAGAAAGTAAGCATATGGCCAGGAGATTGCATTTAATACCTTTTTCTTGACGTTATGACATAGTTCCTTTGGAGTAATCTTGTACTCTTGCATGACCCAATTAGTTCTTCGTCCTTGAGGGGTTTGGCCTTTATAAAATTCAAGAGTAGTTCTCCAACCAGTTATGACAGAGTTGGTGAATATTTTATTGGCCTCCCCTCTGGCCTTCCAGAATCCAAGTTCAGTAGTTTTGTTACCATCTGAGGGTACGATATACCAAATTCCTTCTGTGCATACCACATGCTTGTGTTAGCTTTGGTAGCATTGACCCAAGCTCATTCAATATTATATCTTTGATCCAAGCCACAATAAACAGACGATAAAAAATGCAACTCAAAATACAGTCCCCAAAAACATCTTATTTTTGTGTGTGTGTGAGAGATAAAGAGAGAGAGAGAGGTAGGGAGGGTTGGAAGGAGGACATCTTGAACAAGATATTCTACATACTAATTACTAAGTGGACGGATACACATAGCTACAGGTCACTGGGCCATCCATACATTCCCCAGAACTCTTTAAATCATGCAACAAGATAGGACTAACATGGTGCTATGACTATAAAAATTATCTCTGCAACACCGTAATAGCAGATGGGAAGTGCGATTAAGTTTATTATGTGCGTCGAGAATAAGACCAGAGAGTCAAGAAATATAATAAGTGAATAACCAGAATGTCTAATCAGGATGTCAAACTTAATAGGCTCCCAATCTTTATCCAAAATTTCAACATATTTGCAGTTTATTTAGTCACAGTGTAACAAAGGTTAATCTGGAATCGATGATACCCAACTAGTCCAGCTCACAAAGAATAAATAGCCACCTAATCTGGTGTATCCCGTTGTAAAACACATCACTTAAAGTAGAACTAAAAATGCAGTTTGATCTTCTAATCTGAAAACTGCCGGTTTGCTAGGTGATTTACGTAGTAATCTTCAATTTGGACCTTTTTCAAAACCTTCTACAATGAAAGCATGCTAAATCGGCATAGGCAATGGACCTTATTGTCCGATTGATTGCCTCAAAATAACAGATCAACCACATTAATGGCAAACAATATATTATTGCCTTATAAAAATAAATCAACACCATTACTGATAACAACGTACAAGAGACAGCACTCTCTTCACAGCTGAACAAGTAGCTTTGCACGTAGAATATATTTTAAAGCAATTTCCGCACATAAGACCAATAGGAATACACAAAGGCTGACAGTGTCTTGTTCAGGTAAGACACAAACGTAAAAAAATATTATTTAACCGTGAAAAAATGTCTGATCATAAATGCG